GAAGATCTAACAGATCTGTCCTGGAGGAAGTGCAGTCGGAATTCTCCTTGGAAGCGAGAATGGCCAGACTTCGTCTCACCTACTTTGGTCATGTTATCAGAAGGGACCATTTCCTGGAGAAGGATGTCATGCTTGGTAAGGTGGAGGGTCAACGAAAGAGGGGAAGGCCCTCAACAAGATGGATTGACATGGTGGGTGTGGAGATGAGCTTAAGTATAGCAGGGATCAAGGAGCTGGCACAGGACTGGGCTGTGTTTTGTTCTGCTGTGCATGGGCCCACTATGAGTCAGTGACAACTCGCCAGCACCTAACAACAACATCTCTACAGAAGTAGATTGCCCAATCTTCCTTCTGAGGAATGGCTGGTGGGTTTGAACCTCCAGCCTTCTGGTTAGCAGTCAAATGTCTTAGGCACTATGCCACCAGAACTCCCCCAGGGCTCCTTAGTTTAGCATTAATGCTCCTTGAACATTTTGTCGTCTGTTTCTTATGATCTAACATGAGAAATTAAACAACTAAAACTTGAACAGTTTAAAGCCATTTAATAATGAAAAACCATAAAAGTGGCTCATAGTTTTCACCTGACCATGCTCATCTGCCTCACCCCCACCCCACCGCTGACCACCACTCATTTCAAGGTACCGTTTAAAAGGGGAAAGTAATAGAATAATTATTTTATGGATTTATTAGAAAATTTAAAATAGATACCATATACACCTTTAACAGTGTTTTTGTTTTTCAGTATCTCTCACAGTTGTAGAGGTTAAGGAACCCCTGGTTGAAAAACGGGCATCATACCCTAGCCCTCTTATTTTTCTCAGTGATGAAGCTGAGGCCCAGAGAGAGAAAGGGAGTTGCCCAAGGTTTTGGATTTGTCTGGGCTGAGCCTGTAAACTCCACCCCTCCTTATAGCTCACACTTACTCTCCACAGAGCTGAGGTGTAAATACAGAGAAATTAATTGGGTTTTGTGTGTGTGGCTTGTGGAATCAGTCTCTGTATCGCAACACCTTGTTTGTTCAACCCATCCATTCAACTGACAGCTAAATCATCAACTACTTTCCAGATGACACACAGGCCCTGCCCCATCTGGCCCCAACCACTCTCTCTATTTGGTTTCATCTCCCAACCCTGCCCTCCTGCTCAGTTCACACCTCCCACTTTCTATTGACTCTAGGCTCTGGTATGTTTGCTTCAGAAGCTTTCTCTGCCTCCCCCCAAGTCTGACTTGGGTGCCCCTCCTTCTACCATCCCCCAGCACAGCCTGTCTCACCTGGCAGTATAACTACCTGTCTACTTGTCTGTCTCACATGTAGGAGACAGTGGCACTAAGTGGCTCTGAGCTCTGAGTGCCCAGAGCGGGGGCTGACCCTTAACAGGTGCCTATGAATATTACTGATTCAGCCATTTCCAGGACACTCCCTGTGCCCTCACACCGAACAGTCTCTGCAAAGGGTGTTTCTTTTCCCAGCCCCATCAGTTCTACCCGCCTTACATCAAGACCCACAACAATCAACAGTTCTATGAAGTCATCTTCCTCAATGCCCCCACCCCACTTGCACACAGAGGTAGTCCCTCCTCTTCCCGCTCCCATCCTCCCTGCTACCCCATACCACTTAAGACATTATTATTGGCCCTGTGAATTTTCTTGTGTCATTTATACTGGCCCTCTGGCACCTGTAAAGTGCCAGAATCTTGTCTAGCTGCTTAAAATTCAGCAGTGAACATAACAGGCAAAAAAATTATTGTCCTAGTGGAGCCCACAGTCTAGTTGAGGGAAAAAGCCATAAATAAACTAAGTGAAATTTAGATCATCTTAAAAACTCAGTGCTGTCGAGTCAGATCCAATCTGACTCGTAGCGACCCCTCCTTGGGTTTCCAAGGCAGTATCACTATGGAAGTAGATTGCCCAACCTGCCTTCCGAGGAGTAGCTGGTGAGTTTGAACTGCCAGCCTTCTGGTTAGCAGTCAAATGCCTTAGGTCCTATGCCACCAGAGCTCCGTTAGATCATATTAGAAAGTGGAAGTGGTATTAGGGAGAAGAGGAGCGCTGGTGGAGAAGTGGTTAAAGCATTCAACTGCTAACCAGAAGGTTGGTGGTTCAAACCACCACATGCTCTGTCGGAGAAAGATGAGGTAGTCTGCCTAGACTGGGAAACCCTATGACCATTCTCTGTCCTATAGGGGTGCTATTAGTCTCAATCTATTCAACTAGATGTCAGTGGGTGTTAGAAAAACAAAGCAGGGAAGGCAGATAGGGAGAGTGGGAGATATTGTGAGGAAGCCATGACAGTATCTGGGAAAGAACTCAGGCTTGCACTAGCTGGGCAAAGGTCTTGAAGGTGGACTGGAGGGGGCTGGCCACAATTGAGTTAGTATGAGGAGGCTAGTGTGGCTGGACAGCAAAGGGGATGATGTAGGAAGTGAGGCCAAAGAGGTAAAACAGCCTCCAAATGAGAGGTTTGTTGAATCTGATCAGGACTTTGGGCTTTTGCTCTGACATAGGAGACCTTTTGGGCTTTGAACAGAGAAGTGACGTGATGTTGTTCACATTTAAACAGGATCACTCTGACTCCCGTATTGAGAAAAGATTGAAGGGTGACAAGGACAGAGGCAGGGAGGCCAGTGAGGAGATTATAACAACATTCCAGGTGAAAGGTGATAGTGTTGGACCCAGGTGGGAGCAGGGAAAGTGAGAGTGAAATATGCATAAGTGAAAAGTCAAAGAAGACACCACCACTTTGATCTGAGCAGCAGGATAATGGAGATGCTAGGAACTGAGATGGGGAAGACTGTGGGAGGAGCAGGTCTGAAGAGAAGATCAGGAGCTCAGTATTTGACATGCTCAGTTGAAGATGTCTATCAGACAGTCAGGAGTTCTGGTGGCGCAATGGTTAAAGTATTTGGCTACTAACCAAAGGGTCAGTGGTTTGAACCCACTAGTCACTGTGTGGAAGAAAAATGAAAAATGAGGCAGTCTGCTTCAGTAAAGATTTATAGCCTTGGAAAACCCTATATGGCATAGGGTGGGTATGAGTTGGGATTGACTCACTGACATTTTTTTTTTTCCCAGACAGTTAATGGAAATGTTAATCAGTAGCTGCATACACAAGTCTTTGGTTCAGAGGCGATGATCCAGACTGGAGATAGAAATATGGGCATCATCAGCATATAGATGTAAGCCTTGAGAGCCTTATGAGATCACTAAGAAATGCAAGTATCTCAAGGAAGAAGGTGATCAGCTGGGTCAAATGCTGCTAATGGTCAAGAGGAGGCCTGGCAATGAGTGAAGAAATGCCAAGTCCAGTTGGATCTGTAAAGTACAGGTGATTTTTAAGGGTTAACTGGCAACAGATGGGTAAGGCACCTACCTGATTCCTAGCAGAGACAAAATGGTTCTAAGTCCTCAGGAACACTGGAGACACAGGGAATGGAAGAAACACACAGCCTCCAGTTGGAAGGACCTTAAATAGATCATTTCATCTATACTCTTTCCCCACCCTAGCCTGATGATTGAATCCCTGGTTCTAGAACAAGAAATATTTGTCTGATCCTGAGGCAACCAGGCTGGTTAGGACAATTAGAGAAAACACAGTTGAAGAAGAGGGAAAGGATAGTTCAGTAAATGCTGGACAGCAGACACTGAGTAAGGAGTGGAAGAGAACTGCTTCTGGCTGGAGTCAACTGGAATTCAGGTCCTGCATCTGCTGCTCCCTCACCTCATGTGGTTAGGCAAGTCACTCCACCTCTGTCAGCCTTAGTTTTCCCATGTGTGAAATGGGAGCTACCAAACTTTCCTTGTCTCTTCCAGGATTGCTGTCAGACTGAATATGGCATTGCCTGGGGGGTAAATGCCCTACCTGGGTTAGTTATTGCAAGAGCAAGGGAAGGAAGCCAAGAGAAGCATATAGCTTGTATTGGTAATGGAAGTGGGGATGAGGAAGGAACTACCATGCCCTAAGTGGGCCGGCTGGTGGCATGTGGGGAAATTAACTAGGATTCTGGCCAGCACCTGGACGACAAGATGAGACCAGAGAGACAGAGGCCTTGAATGCACCTCGAGCCTGGAACAGAGACTCTGAGGCAACAACAGGGAAAAGAAGCGGAGACACCGAGGCAGAAAGAGACATGGGGACCCAGAGACAGGGAGACTGAGAGAACTAGCAGCCCAACAGGGGCCCGAGGCGACCGGGAGAGAGCGAGGCACTGCGGCGTAGACCCCAGCAGAGCAGAGCCCCCGCGCGGCGCAGGGTCGCAGCGCGCGGGCCAAGAGTCCCCAGCGGGGCCGGAGCGGCCGCACTCGCTGGGCGCCCCCGCCCCGGCTGCTCGCCCAAGATGGCGATG